ACCTAACCTAACCTCACCTCACCTTAAATAACCTAACCTAACCTAACCTCACCAGCCAGGTACGGTGAGGGAGTTTAATCAAGTGAAATAAACAAGGTTACATAATCTTCAGCATGACAATGAACTGAGAAGCGGGTGTCAACTGAAGCAGGGAGACAAGATATGCCATACCCTGTACTGATTAACTGAGTAACGGACTGACTGACTGACTGACTGACTGATTCTAGTACCAGGTTATAAGAGTTAGGATCAAGCACACCCACCATCCACCTGTGTGTGTGTGTGTGTGTGTGTGTGTGACCTATGACCTGTCCTGACCAAAATCATCTCGTTTTCCTCCTTGGTCAGTGCACAACCCATCTCGCAACGTTCACCAAGATCACATTAAAAAGGGATTATGAAAGGTCAAGGTTAAGCAACAAAGGTCAAATTTATATAACATGAACTTGACCAACCTGTTAATTTAACCTAACCTATAACTAAACTAATCTGAATTAAACTTCACTAAACCTAACCTAATCTGACTTGACCTATTAACCTAACATATCCCATATGACCTAATCTAACCTTAACTAAACCTAATACTAATCAAAGTTATCAAACCTAACCTAACCTAACCAAACCTAACCTAACCAAACCTAACAATATAATCTGATACATACTAACTTATGATGTGAGGCAATGCATGTTGTGAGGCAGTGTATGTTGTGAGGCAGTGTATGTTGTTGTGAGGCAGTGTATGTTGTGAGGCAGTGTATGTTGTTGTGAGGCAGTGTATGTTGTGAGGCAGTGTATGTTGTGAGGCAGTGTATGTTGTTGTGAGGCAGTGTATGTTGTGAGGCAGTGTATGTTGTGAGGCAGTGTATGTGTGTTGTGAGGCAGTGTATGGTGTAGAGGCAGTGTATACAGAGGCAGGTATGTTGTGAGGCAGTGTATGGTTGTGAGGCAGTGTATGTTGTTGCAGTGATGGAGGCAGGTATGTTGTTGTGAGGCAGTGTATGTGTGTATGGTTGTGAGTTGTGCAGAGACAGTGTATGTTGTTGTGTGAGGCAGTGTATGTTGTTGTGAGACAGTGTATGTTAGAGGCAGTGTATGTTGTTGTGGAGGCAGTGTATGTTGTGGAGGCAGTGTATGTTGTTGTGGGAGGCAGTGTATGTTGTTGTGGAGGCAGTGTGTGCGTTGTTGTTGAGGAGTGCAGTGTATGTTGTTGTGAGGCAGTGTATGTTGTTGGTGAGGCAGTGTATGTTGTTGTGAGGCAGTGTACATGTTGTGAGGCAGTGTATGCAGTGTATGTTGTTGTGAGCAGTGTAGAGGCAGTGTATGTAGTGTTGTTGTTGTTGAGGCAGTGTATGTTGTTGTGGGAGGCAGTGTATGTTGTTGTGAGAGGCAGTGTATGTTGTTGTGAGGCATGGTATGTTGTTGTGGAGGCAGTGTATGTTGTTGTGTGAGACAGTGTATGTTGTTGTGAGGCAGTGTATGAGGCAGAGGCAGTGTATGTTGTGAGGCAGTGTGTATGTGTGGGAGGCAGTGTATGTTGTGAGGCAGTGTATGTTGTGAGGCAGTGTATGTTGTTGTGAGGCAGTGTATGTTGTTGTGAGGCAGTGTATGTTGTTGTGAGGCAGTGTATGTTGTGAGGCAGTGTATGTTGTGAGGCGACAAGTGTGGCGCCGAGAAGGTAGTGAGAGGTGAGGTGAGGGGTGTGGTAGTGTCTGGCGGAGGAAGTGGTGAGGGAGGAGGAGGCGATGTGGTATTGTGTGTGGCAGAGGGGGAGGAGGAGGTGGTGGAGGTAGAGGAGGTGGAGGTAGAAGAAGAGGAGGAAGAGGAAGAAGAAGACGAAGGAGAGGAGGAAGTGAAAGATGATGAGATAGAGAGAGGGGGTGGGAGAGGAGACACAAGAGGAGAGGCAGCACGGGTGAGGTGTGAGCGTGGGCGTCATGAATGCTCGGTGAGGTTCCCCTTCTCCTCTTCCTCCTCCTTCACCATCACTACTCCTCTCACCTCCTCCTCCTCCTCCTCGAATGTCACTCAAAATGGCGTTAAAATTACACTGATACTTCACACTGAGTGTTTCTTCGGTTCAGATTAAATTCGTAAGTTCACTTGTGTTCTTCTCCTAAGACAAATTAAGGAAGCATATGGTTAGTCTTGAGTCTCAGTTCAATTTCGGCTCCATTTTGTCAGCCCTCTTTGCGTGGCAGGTCATGGGAGGCGGGCAGGTGAGGTCCCACATCTCTTGTAACGTGAGCAAGTTGACCAACACACAGACACACCATCGTGATTCTCAACCACAATTTCCCGCAGCAGCCAACGCCGTGTGTGTGTGGTACATCAACAAAAACTCTGAACCACTGCCCAGGTAATATATACTGTATAGGTATTAACAAAACACACACGGTACAGTACAGGTAAGTTATACAGTATTTGTCAACCTGTCAAAATTGGAGATGAATTTCCTTTTTTATAGACAAAATATGTATTAATACAATATATAAATAAGGTTAATTTGGTGAACATTTTAACAATATATTACGACAAAAATTATATATATATTCGTTTCTCACCTTAACGACGCTTGAGGGTTTTCGTTTGTGAGCCATTTCGTTGAACCAGAAGGAACTCGTTTAACATAAACTATATTGCCCTATAGAATTTATAAGACATTCTTATATCCCCGCTGAAAACATGCCATTTATTTCTATCTTCATCTCCACACCTGCAGCTCATTCATCTTCAACCACTACTCAGATAATCACTTTAGAATCTTCATTAACTGATCTTGGTAACAGGTAATTATAATAAAGGTTTAGCACAGAACACACTCTCACCGCCGCGGCCGACACAGCCACACTGAGCGGCACACAGGGAGAACCTCCAAGTCCGGTAGTGGGGAGCGCAGTTGCCGCTTACCTATTTTTTTTACCTTCGCCATAAAGCTTCATAGTTCTAATCCTCATGAAATTTACCAGGAATTTTAATATTTGGATCATTTGTATGGTGAAACAATATTAATTTTAGGTAGTTTTAGCAAGATGGAAAAAATGTCTTAGGTAGAGAAAATGAAGGTTTAAGTGTGGTGGACATCCCAGCACCACCTCAGGGGTTGGTGCCACAAAATTGGATTTCGTGTCCCCCAAATAAAATACCAGGGAGAAAAGGTTCTATGTGTTAGGGTAGGTTTCTCACTTATAAATATGGAACTTCTAGTTACTTAATGTGTAACGCTAAGTCTCATAACGCTAATATACAGTATATATGTATGTATATATGTATAATACACGTTAAACTTTTCTGCTTCATGTTGGTTAGGTTAGGTTAGGTTAGGTTAGGTTAGGTAGATCATGCTCGGTTCAGTGTGAAGTTTAAATAAATGTTTGCAGTTCTCAGCTAAAGAACCTAACCTGACCTAACCTAGCCTAGCCTAACCTAGCCTAGCCTAACCTAGCCTAACCTAACCTAGCCTAGCCTAGCCTAACCTAGCCTAACCTAACCTAGCCTAACCTAACCTAACCTAACCTAGCCTAGCCTAACCTAGCCTAGCCTAGCCTAACCTAGCCTAGCCTAACCTAGCCTAACCTAACCTAGCCTAGCCTAACCTAGCCTAACCTAACCTAACCTAACCTAACCTAACCTAACCTAACCTAGCCTAGCCTAACCTAACCTAACCTAACCTAACCTAACCTAACCTTACGTAGATAAAGTTAAGTATGGTAAGATAATGAAGGCGCCATCTTACGTACAATAAAGTTAATATCTCCGTGTAGGCATCACTTAACCGGGAACTAAAAGAACATAATTATCTTTCATTACGTTTATAATCTTTGTGGTATAATTCTCTCCTAAACGCAGTACATTATATATAGGTAAAACCTTTTATACTGAAAGAACCCATAAATACAATGAACCTTTAATCTAATCTTTGGTTTTGAAGATTATAACATTGTAATTTAATGGGTTAGTTTTGCACACACACACACACACACACACACACACACACACACACACACACACACACTGTCTGCTAATTTTTACACATTATTAATAAACCCAAACTTCATCAGCCCGTAACAGAATTTGGTGTTGCTAATTTTCACTTTATTGACTTGAAACAAAATAAATATATACACAATATTCGCCCATGACCACACAAGGGAGTCACCCAACACTGAACACTGACTGAACCAACTGGTATACTGAACACGCTTTGTAATCTGGATTCGGGGTGCCCAGATTCAATGGTGGCTTTTTAGTACACACACACACACACACACACACACACACACACACACTACATCCTTGACCACCGTAGGGTCAATACCTATTCAGGCGCTGCTCCTGCTGAGCAGCTGCCCCCCTTGGCCATATTCGGCCCATTCCCCAAGTCCCTCTCCCCGACCCATCCTCACCACCGGGATATCTACATAATCAAGTGACAATTTCGTTTCAGATCAGTGATGAACAGCGTTTAAGCCAGAGAATTCAGCACTAGGCAGTACCAGTGAGAGCCGTGACCCACCAGTGAGATAAGCACCCTTGGGAACCATCCTCTGACCAGACGGTGTTAATCAGTCTACCCTGGGGACAACAGAGGGCCGGCTATGTACCTGACTACGAGATAACACAACTTCACCTAGCAGAGAGTGAGGTACTGTGCCACCACCCCACACCACCCGGTGTCTCCATGACCACGTGAGGTCCTTCATATCAACACCCGAGGACGAGTTACTACACCACGTGAACACCACACCACGCGACGTATCAATGACCAGCCCAGGCCCGGGCCATCAACTGTAAACTATAATAATTTTTATGTTCAGTTCATGTTCCTTCTCCTTTCAGTAATGAAAGCTTTTGTTAAAAGACCCACCCAGCCCATTTTTGTCCAATGTATATTTTCAGCCTTCGGGCTGCAGAATTTTTTCAATAAACCGTTAATTATTATTATTATTATTATTATTATTATTATTATTATTATTATTATTATTATTATTATAGTGACTCACCTTCCAAACATGATTGAAGTTGTTATGATGAATGTTGTTGTTGTTGTTGAGGGCGGAGGAGCAGTGTTTGAGGTAGATGCTGGTGAAGGGCACCCTGTAGTCCAGCTCATGACTCACGGCGCTAACACGTTTATCATACCGGCATTCTTCTTCCTCCCCCTCTTCCTCCTTTCTCTTCTCCTCCTCCTGTTGCTCCCGTTGTTGTTGTTCTTGTTGCTTCTGTTTCTGTTCTTGCTTCTCCTGTTGGTGCTTCGTTAGTTTATGGTGCTTCAGCTGTTCTTGATGTTTTTGTTGTTGATCGAGGTGTGTCTGTTGGCGTTGGTGGTGGTGGTGTTGGAGCGGTGGCTGGTGGTGCTGCTGGTGGTGTGGGTGGTGGTGGTGGTGGTGGTGATGGAGAGGGTGATGGTGGTGGGGATGGTGGTGGTGGTTGTTGAGGTGGACCATGGGAGCTGAAGGGTAGTGAGACTCCTCTGTCGTCGGTGCCTCCTCCGGGTGGCGACTGACGGAGAGGAAGAAGAAAAAAAAACCACACACACACATTAGTCAAAACACCTTCAGAATAATATTACCTGCAATTCCTGATTATAAAAACCATTGCATCACTAAAACAGATCAAATGAATTTACACAGAGGGTCAAACATCAGCTGAGGACCATGGAGGAACTTAAAATAATGAAATAAATGAATCTGTCTTGCTAGGAATATTTTAGTGTGTGTGTGTAAAAGGGACATGTAAGACCCAGGCCTGATCAGGGCATTATACAGTTATTATCAAGGATTCAGGTCATTATCAAGGGGTTCAGAGGTGGCTCGAACAGTTTTGGATCCCGTCTACGTGTGCAGGAGTGACTAAGAGTTTAAAGAAGACGTTAATGGTGTCTAAGCGTCCAAGAATTACTGTCAAGTAACTTAAAACCCCTAAATTGTTCCCCTTAAACTTATCGTCCTAAAAAGGGGTGACAAATTTTCATCTCTTAGGTGTGTGTGTGTGTGTGTGTGTGTGTGTGTGTGTGTCACCTTATCAACACCACTAGTACACTTTTAATGAATAAATAATATTAAGTCATCACCAAAACTACTCAAAGACAAGTCAGTACTCTTCAGGGGTTACAAAGTTAAGGTCATTGTATATGTATATGTAGAGTTCAAAAATGACTACCTGTTAACTTATCACGTTAAAAATGGTGGTAAAGGCCGCTCATTATACGAACTGTGTTGGGGAATAACTGAATTAATATGATAAACTAAACGAACAATGTTAATAACAAAACTAAATTTAAGTAAATAAAAAAAAAATAATAATAAAAATAAAACCGCATAGATCAAGGGGAATTATTTTAGTCCAAAACAAGTCGTGAAAAATATGTATTTTCTGCCCGACTCTGATGTTATAGATAAAAACATTATTATTCTCTCGTGTTCTGCCGCCGTAACATACAAACATGTCTTGGTTGGTTGAACTCACCCTGATGCCTCACACGCTAAAACTCTCTCGTAATGAACTATTTTTAAAACCTCCAACTGATGTACATTTAGTAACTGTAGTACAATATGTTTTTGTCCCCCCCTCTCCCAGATAACCATAGCGTCCGTCCGTCCGTCAGTAGAGAAATGTGGTCGGCATAATAGTAACAATATTCTTGGTCGTATTATAAGTCAACGTCACTACGAGAGAGAGAGAGAGAGAGAGAGAGAGAGAGAGAGAGAGAGAGAGAGAGAGAGAGAGAATTTTTCATTTACTGGACTTATTTCTTTATTAATATCTACCGGTTAATAATACGGAAACGCTATTTTACCCTGAAGTTCATTTAAAAGGCTAAATTAACTCAACCTAACTTAATTTAACCTACTAGAGTGGTTTAACTTCTTGAATACGGTGACTTAACGTTGGCACAGCTTAGTCAGGGATCACTGACATGACACTGAAGCTCCTAGCATGACACTGTGACACTTTGCTTGACACTGTGATTCCAATATGTCATTATTTTCCCTTGATACGTGTGTGTGTGTGTGTGTGTGTGTGTGTGTGTGTGTGTGTGTGTGTGTGTGTGTGTTCACTGGAGCACACACTAGGTGGCACACTTCTTAGGCTTCTCAGGCCAAGGTGAATAAACATCATGAATACAAAATTTGCATCTAAAAATATTAAATCATTGAGATGTATAAAGAAAGTAGTAGTAGTAGTAGTAGTAGTAGTAGTAGTAGTAGTAGTAGTAGTAGTAGTAGTAGTAGTAGTAGTAGTGGTAAACATATACATTACCTGAGAGATGTTGGTGGTGGAGGAGGCGGTGGTGGTGGGGGCAGGGTGGGCACTGGCATAGAGGGTGGGGGCACAGGCAGGTTGGCCACACCCAGGGGCACACCCAGACCCACGTGCACGCCCACTGACCGCCGGGGACACTCCGTACACAATACCAGGAACTTGGTGACCGCCTCCCGGGGCACGAAGGCATACCTCTCTGATACCTGCAGGAGAGGTCAGGGAGTTCCAATGAGTCAGAAGTTTATTGTAATGAAAAGAGAGAGAGAGAGAGAGAGAGAGAGAGAGAGATATTGCCGATTTCCATTCTAATCTCAATCATTTCAGTTTACAAGAGAACAGAGACAATAATTAATTATCGTTCACAAAAACACAAATGAAAGTCGATTTAGCCATTCCCGAACTTCCTTCCTTTATTCTCATTCCCATTCAGATGTCAAAGATTCTTATGATGAATATTACACGTAACTCACTTAACACACAGGAACTTGCTGAAGGAATCACAGCTAACAACGTCCCCTAACTGGTGCTAAGGGAGTATATATATTGTAAGTTTGTCTCAGTGTTATATTTTCATGCTGTTCTCGGGTGTTTTTTTTTTTTTTTTTTGGTGCTTTAGCTTAAGTCAACCAGTAAAGAGCACACTCGTACAGCTTCACATACGAGGGGCAGTCATCGAGCGAATCTTTGAGACTCTAGACCTCAGTAAAATGCGTCCCAGAGATGTGTTAAGTTAGTCTTGGCTAATTCATGTTTCATATCTTCTGTAGTGTACTTATAATGATGAAAATAATCTCTGCTTAGTTTTGAAACTTAAGGACAGCCATTAATCACACTATACGTTAGAGTGAACGTGTTAGAACAGTTACACCAATTCTTATCTTTCTCCCATATGTCTTAACTTCATGATCTGTCTACTTAAAATGATGCAAACAGACTTTTTTTAGTTACCAACACTCAGAAATATAATAATCACAATACAAAATTACGATATACAATACACAATCACAATACACAATCACCTTTCAGTAGCTATATCTCACCTATCAGACATATCTAACTCGAATGCTCAGTGATGGAAACGGGTTTAACTGAATCAGCCATCTCAGAATCATGAGTCAACATAGAGAAAGAACTAAAACCAATGTCAATCTTTGTTATGTATTCGTTCTATGTAAACTCTAAATATTGGCTGTATTGGGGTAATTAATTCAGCATTGTCTATTTCAACTTAACCTTATGTAAATAAATCTAAGAATAGGGAGACGGTAGATAAAACTAACTGCAGCTCGTCTGATGGATTCCTGCTATATGTCTCTGAGTTATTGAGGTCATCGATAAACACAGTCGTAGTTCATTATCGTGGGATATATTATAGTACTAACGGAGAATGGCTAAATCTATATAATTTAAAATAGTTCCATGTTTTATCTCCTAGTTGAATGAAAGGTCTAACTCTAACACGTAAATCTAAAATGGCAACCAATTTACCTCGTCTGATTATCTCCAACGGCTTGATAGATAGATATTGATCCAGTTTACACTCAGTCAGTATGTATGTAGACAATGCAAGGTATACAAACAACGGTAAATAGTAAGGCAAGTTTGTGTATTTAATAGGATGGGTGAAGTCTCTTAGTGCTATCCACCTCATATAACAAACTGAAACTTATACTTACAGCCCGATAAGTCCTTTTCTGTCCCATGTGTTTTTGTTCTTTGCCATCCTTACACACATGGAGGTTATAGATGATATCGAAGAAGTCCTCAACAACGGCGACCTTTTTGAAGCAGATTCTATCGTGTCCCTCCGGATCCTGAAAGAGAAAACGGAATATATTGTAGCGTGAAAGAAAACGTAAACATTTAAAGGGATAACCACTCAAACTTTATATTCAACATGGTAAACGAATCGAATTCTTTTTTTAATGACTTATTCGGTTACTTTTTACTTAACTAATTACTTAATGACATCCTAAAACGTCACACCATTTATAACATAATCCACCATCTATACTATTACATTACATTTGAGTGATTTTACCTAAACTATGATAACGTAATCTCGTACTGAAGGGACAAATTCAACAGAAAATATGAATGCATAACTCAAAATTATATTCCATAAAAATAAATGAGGCATATTTCAAGTGGTATTCATCAGTAGAACGAAAATTAAAACTCCCATGATGAATACAGTAATAATATCACTGTGCAATAATCCTTTACAGAGTAGATTTTAATCATGATACGAGTTGCTGGATGGCGTAGTGTACGTATGTCGGTTTGTATGTGTTACTAACTCTCACTTTCATTCCCTTAATCTCTTCCTCTTATCCTTTCACGTGGTTTCTATTCATTTTATTTCCTCATTTCCCCTTCCTCTCTTATTTTGTCTGACTTCTCGTTCCTTTCTTGGTTTCGACACTCATTCATATTAATACACAGCAAAAGTCTCTCTCTCTCTCTCTCTCTCTCTCTCTCTCTCTCTCTCTCATCAATTTGTTTATCTGTTTGACTTTCTCTCTTTTAATTCTTTCTCTTTCTATGTACGTATTTATTTCTGACTCACTTTACGTCTTTCTTCTCTCTATGTATATGAAGTAATTTCATTTAATTATCTCTCTCTCTCTCTCTCTTTATCTCTTTTTCTCTCTCCCTCTGGCCCTCCCCTCCCACCCCCGTCTCTCTCTCTCTCTTCAGTCAGCCTCCAGAGACACTAATCTAATTACCCACAAGGAGAGACGTTGCCAGGTATCGGCTCTGATTTACAAGTGAAGGAAGAGTGAACATCATTGTGCGTAATTACTGGTTGTTGTACCTCACTGTACTACTTGTCGTATACACTGATGTAAGCTACAACTGGGCAACATGAGAGTACTTTTCTACAACCTTGTGCTTACTGAAATTTTTTCTCAACTAATGTACAGTTTGTAGTGTACTATAGTGGGCGAATTCCACAAGTGTTCTTTACTACAACCTGGCAATATACTTTTATGGTCTCAAGTTCATAAACACGAACTATAAACGAGTGCCACTGCAGGCAGGAGAAGGCGTGCGTTCGCCTGGCGTACCTTCCACAAGTAAGCCAAATGCGGGTTGGAGGGGAACGAACGGTCCGTTTGATTGCTCGTGTTGGTGATATCATTAGGGTACGACAGGCGGGCGGGCGGGGAGACGGGACAGTGAGGCGGCGCGGGGAGGCGTGGTTACCAGGCGGGGCTAGGAGGCGTGGCAGCGAGACGAAGTTAGGAAGAGTGGCTGCAAGGTGGGGACAGGAGGCGTGGCTAGGAGGCGTGGCTAGGAGGCGGGGCCAGGAGGCAAGGCCAGGAGGCGGGGCCAGGAGGCGTATTTGCGAGGCGGGGAGAGGAAACAGCATTAGGACGCTGGACAGGGACTCGGGATGGGAAATGCGGCGAGAAAAAGTGTTGAGCCGTGTTGCTAGGAGAGTGGACTAAGAACACTTTTAGGACATGGGGCTGGGTGATGGGGCTAGAAGATAGTGCTAGGAGGCAGGCAAGGAGGCGGGGCTAGGATGGAGCTCGGAGGGGAGGGGCTAGGAGGCAGACTGGGAGGCGGGGAGGAGCGAGTCACACCCTCTGTTGACATCACCAAGTCACGTACACACAACACGCCACCATCAGCGTCAACACCATCATACCGATACACCAGCCCACCGCAAAGGTCAACTCCAGCAGACACCATTATTTAGTATTAACATTGTTGGTACTTTCTAGAAAATGGATAGATATTGTGAGAAAATTCCTATAAGTTCAGCGTAAAATATTAAATAAAAAAAACACATTAAATCTATCCTTCTGTGTTAATATCCATTGGAAGGACATTTAACATACACAAACCTTTCAGTTAACACATATTTAACGAAAAATAATATGCAAAATTACGTAAAAAAAAGACCTTTTATCAACATGTGCTAATATCCCAGAAAAGGTCATTCAACATGATAGATTTAACGACAATAAATAAATCAGGTTAAAAATCACTCTCACGGTGTTAATAACGGGATGAGTGTTGGGGGGAGGGGGAGGGGCGGAAGGGAGGGGAAGGAGGGGTGGATTGGTGTCCCTCCACTCCCTCTCCCTCCCCGTCTCCCCTGCCCCTCATACCTCCCCAGGGCGTGCGCGGGACCCAAGCCAAGGTCGCTGGTGGTGGTCGGGACGAGGCGGAAAACGGCAAGCGGAGAGGCGGAAAAAAGTGGGACGGAGAATGAAGAGCTCCGTCCGCCTGCTCGCCCGCCACTCCCAAACTTTTCCCACCCCCCGTTGAAATTTCCCAGGCGTGTTGAGTGTGTGTTGCAGGTGTTTAGTGTGTGTTGCAGGTGTTGGGTGTGTGTTTCAGGTGTTGAGTGTGTGTTTCAGGTGTTGAGTGCGTGTGTTTCAGGTGTTGATAGTGTGTTGCAGGTGTTGAGTGTGTGATTTCAGGTGTTGAGTGTGTCTTGCAAGTATTGAGTGTGTGTTGAAGGTGTTCAATACGTGTTGCAAGTGTTGAGTGTGTGTGTGTGTGTTACAGGTGAATGTGTGTTACAGGTGTTGAGTATGTGTTGCATATGGTTATGAATGTTACAAGGGAACCAACCAGGTATTACAAGGAGCTGACCAGGCGTTGAAGAAAATCCGCTTCAACCTGGTCACTCTGCACACTAACACACACTTACCTTCTTAGTATCTAGATTAGCAAAGTTTCCATCCTGGTTTCTGGATGAGTTCCCGACCATTTTACTTGCAAATGAAGGCCCGAATTTCCCAGCATTATTTCCCCCCTTTCCACAGGTCTAGGAAGGTGGCAGGGGGCTACTGAGGGCTGGTCTTCCTCTGATCTCCTCCCTTCCTTCCTCCTTCAAGACCCCATATACAGTAGTCAAGGAGGGTGAGCTGTAGAGCCTATTGAGAGGGGCTGGCCTTCACATATCACCCTCGCTCGCCCTCCAGGCCCACGCAAAGCCCCCCACGAGGAAGTGAGGATTGAGTAGGGGCTGTTTTTCCCCCTGCACCCACCTTCCTAGCCCCTCCCCCCCATCCCCTGAAGCCACATACGATCTAGGAAGGAAGAGAGAGAGAGAGAGAGAGAGAGAGAGAGAGAGAGAGAGAGAGAGAGAGAGAGAGAGAGAGAGAGAGAGAGAGAGAGAGAGAGAGAGAGGGGGGTCTTCCGTAATCCCTTTCTCTCACATCCACATACAGTCCAGGAAGGTAGTGTGGACTTAGGGGGAGGCGGAGGGGATTAGGGGTGCCTGGTGGTGAAGGCTGTCCTCCCCAGACGCTTATTCCTCCCTCCTCCTCCTCCTAGCTGCACCATCTGCCAACCCGGCCTGAATTTTCCACAGTGAACGAGGTTCTTGAGGCATCAGCGGCCATCACGTGTGGTGGGAGGGAGGGAGGGAGGGGCGGCACGCAGGTGTTGAGGGAAGGAGGGGGAGAAGAAGGAGAGGAGGGGGGAGGAAGGGAAGGAGAAAAGTGTAGAGGGAGAGAAGGAGGGAGGAAGAGAAGAAGGAAAGTGTGCTGAGAGGGGAAGAGGTAGGTAAGGTGTCATAAGGGAGGGAGGTGTAGAGTGAGGGAGGATCGAATTGAGAGAAGAGGCATGCAGGTGGGAGGGGGGAGGGGAGACGTGTAGTGTATTGGAAGAACAGAGAGAGAGAGAGAGAGAGAGAGAGAGAGAGAGAGAGAGAGAGAGTAGTATGTCTACGGTCACTTGTATACTGCATGATTTATTATATTGCCCGTGTATAGTATTGTATATTGAGTGTTCTGGTTATGTAGTGTATATTGTTTAATGTGTGTGTGTGTGTGTGTGTGTGTGTGTGTGTGTGTGTGTGTGTGTGTTGAGAGTGTAGCGGTGTTCTTATTCAGCGACACAGAGGGGTTGGGGTGGAGGGGTCTAGGTGTGTTATGTGATTTTACTAGTTACTCAGGTTGGGTGTAGTGTGGGTGGTGGGTGGGTGGTGATGGGTGGGTGGTGGGTGTAGGTGGGGCGGTGGGTGGGTGGTGGTGGGTGTGAAGTGGTGGGTGGGTGGTGGGTGTAGGCGTGGGTGGGTGGTGGTGGGTGGTGGTGGGTGTAGGGTGAAGTGGTGGGTGGAGTGGTGATGGGTGGGTGGTGGTGGTGGTGTATAGGTGTAGGGTGTAGGGGTGGGGTGGTGGTGGTGGGTGGTGGTGGGTGGGTGGTGGTGGGTGTAGGGTGTGAAGTGGTGGGTGGGTGGGTGGTGGTGGTGGGTGGTGGTGGGTGTAGGGTGTGAAGTGGTGGGTGGGGTGGTAGGGACTAGGGGGGTATGAGGGGTGTGGGGAAAGAAGACAGATGTGGTGGGTGGGAGTCAGGGGCAAAAATATCGAATGTGGGGCGGGGCGGGGTAAGATGACGGGTGTGTGGCAGGGTGGGGCATGACAAGGCGAAGTGAGGCGGGAACAAGGCGGGGGCGGAGAGGGGGCGGTGTGGGGGCGGGGCGCGACAGGCAGGCAGGCAGGCGGGTGGGATGAAGGGCGGGCGGGCGGGCGGGCGGGCGGGCAGGTCGGCGACAGCCCCGCGGATCAAGGGCTGCCCGCTAAAAGCCACCATCACCAGCCGCTATCAGCAGTGCTCGCCTGATTATGAGGTGCGGGCGGCCGATCGACCGTCGCAGAGTGTAGCGCTCGCCCGCCACCTGGGTCCCGCACACCACCTGAACGAAACATTCCCGTGTGGATCGATACCCGCCTGGCAGAGCCACAAGTGGATGCACCGCCCTGCCCTCCACGCCATCACCCGCTACTTCATAATGCATCGTCCGCGACCCGCCACCCAGCCACGGCCCTGAGCGATACTCTGAGCGGCCGAACGTGTCCACACCTGCAATACCACCAGCTCCAGCACCATTGTAAACAGTAGGGCGAGGGTGAGGCCCCCAATTAATGGCTC